GTCCTGTCTGCCGTGGGCATCTAGTTCCCCACAGTTCTCTTCAGATGGTGTTTGCAGCTCTCTTGCATCTAATGCAACCTGAGGCTTTTCCTTGCTGCCATCTGTGGAACAGGGAGGCCCTGGAAGAGCATTTCCATGTGTCTCACTTCTCAGCATAGATGGTGACCAGAGGAATAATGCAAACCCAAGCAACCCTGCTTAGCTCTTGGGACCACAGGGCAGCAATGTGCTAGAAGCCAGGGCAGAGCCCCATAGTCAGAGGAAGGCCCAGGTTGGTGCAGGTAGTCTGCATCTAGGGTACTTCCACGTGCTGGAATCAAGCATCTCTGGCACCCAGTTAAAAGCTAGGGAAGTGGTTCTCCACCCTGGCTGCACATGGAAATCTCCTGGTGAGCTTTAAAAAAATACCAGTGCCTGAGTTTCACCCCAAGGGATTCTAATTCACATGGCCTGGAGTGGGGCCTGGGCCTGAGTTTTCAAAGCTTGCCAAGTGACTGCACTGTGCAGCCAGGGATGAGGACCTCTGAGCAAGGGGGACTGCGGGAAGACCATGCTATTGCCTTCTATTCCAAGCCGGTCCAGTCCAGTTCATTCTATTCCATTCGAATCCATTCCATTACAGTACAGTTCACTCACATTTTCTTGAGTAACTGTTATGTGGCAGACATTGGAAAAATAAGAAGGCATAATTCCGATCCTGCCTCAAAGGAACAAACTACTTTTTAGGTTGGTTGTGACAGATGCCCCATAACACAGGGGATAGTGGGCTGGGACGTAGAGTGCCAGGGAAGGGGGATTTTTTTTTTTTTTTTTTTTTTTTTTTTTTACCGGGGAGAGGGGAGGGGAGAAGGAAGGTCAGGAAAAGATCAAGAGGGCTGACAAGTTTTTATCCTGGGATGAGATTGTGTGTGTGTGTGTGTGTGTGTGTGTGTGTGTGTGTGTGTGTGTGTGTGTGGCACGGGGGAGGGGGAGGTGGTGACAAGCGGCACTTTTCAACAACGTTTTGTCACTGTGATGACCTGGTGAATATTAGCAAGGCTTCAGGGTGCCTAGTGACAGCACTTGGAGGGGGCAGGGGCAAGTTCCTTCCTTGTGGTGGCTCCTGAGGGGGAGGGCTGTGCCCTGCTCCCTCCCCCCAGGTGCTAGTCTTGGCCACAGGCCAGCTTGAAAGTCAGTTCCCAAGAGGGCAAGTGGCTGCCAGGTAGAGTATAGGCCATTAGTCCATGTGTCTGTCTCTCACCAGCATTGCCATTCTCTTTCCTGAATGGATGGAAACCAGCATGTGGGTTCCTCCAAAAAAGACCTTCTAAAGCAAAACCTCCCCCAAGGGGCTGGACCATGCTTGTGTGTGTGCATGTATGTACCTGTAGACTTTCTCACCAAGGTGAGATTCTCCCTATATTGTGTCACATTGGAACTACTGGCTAACTGGCCTTTACCCTGTGGCTTGCATGCTAGGCTGAGTGAATGATAACTGGCTTTGAAAGTTCTAGACTCAAGGGGGCCTTTAACCTCCCAGAGCTGGAGCATTTCAGGAAGACTCCAGCCCCTGTCAAGGTTGAGCGTGTCCCCCAGGGAGCACAGCCCTCCTACAGCGTGGGGCCCATCCCATGCACTGTGCTGTATCTGCCAACTTTATTTCAACCACAGACGTTTCCACTGAAACGGTCATCAAGGACTTCTGCACTGAGGATTTCTTTTTTTTTTGAATTTACTAATTAGATTTTATTTATTTATTTATTTTAACATCTTTATTGGGGTATAATTGCTTTACAATGGTTTGTTATTTTCTGCTTTATAACAAAGTGAATCAGCTATACATATACATATATCCCCATATCCCCTCCCTTCTTGCGTCTCCCTCCCACCCTCCCTATCCCACCCCTCCAGGTGGACACAAAGCACCGAGCTGATCTCCCTGTACTATGCAGCTGCTTCCCACTGCTATCTATTTTACATTTGGTAGTGTATATATGTCAGTGTTACTCTCTTACTTCGTCCCAGCCTACCCTTCCTCCTCCCCGTGTCCGCAAGTCCATTCTCTACGTCTGTGTCTTTTTAAAATTAATTTATTTATGTATTTATCTATTTTTGGCTGTGTTGGGTTTTTGTTGCTGTGCGCGGGCTTTCTCTAGTTGTGGCAAGCGGGGGCTACTCTTTGTTGTGATGCGCTGGCTTCTTATTGCGGGGCCTTCTCGTTGTGGAGCATGGGTTCTAGGTGCATGGGCTTCAGTAGTTGTGACACATGGGCTCAGTAGTTGTGGCTCATGGGCTCTAGAGCACAGGCTCAGAAGTTGTGGTGCATGGGCTTAGTTGCTCCACGGCATGTGGGATCTTCCCGGACCAGGGCTTGAACCCATGTCCCCTGCATCGGCAGGCAGACTGTCAACCACTGTGCCACCAGGGAAGCCCCAGAACCATTTTTTTTTAAGGTTGCATATATATGTGTTAGCATATGGTATTTGTTTTTCTCTTTCTGACTTACTTCACTCTGTATGACAGACTCTAGGTCCATCCACCTCACTACAAATCACTCAATTTCGTTTCTTTTTATGGCTGAGTAATATTCCATTGTATATATGTGCCACATTTTCTTTATCCATTCATCTGTCGTTGGACACTTAGGTTGCTTCCATGTCCTGGCTATTGTAAATAGAGCTGCAGTGAACATTGTGGTACATGACTTTTTGAATTATGGTTTTCTCAGGGTATATGCCTAGTAGTGGGATTGCTGGGTCATATGGTATTTCTATTTTTAGTTTTTTAAGGACCCTCCATACTGTTCTCCATAGTGGCTGTATCAACTTACATTCCCACCAACAGTGCAGGAGGGTTCCACTGAGGCTTTCTATACACACAGCTCTGGTGGATCTGCACAGCCTCCCACAGCCACTCTCTTCCTCCGCTTCTTCAGTCTCCCCAAAGTATCATAGTGAACAAACTCAAGTTTTAACTTCAAAGGAGAGGGGAGAAAGCCATGCTTCCCGGCAGGTCATGCAGTGCCACTTTAAGACAGTTTTATTTGGGCAGTAAAATCTCTGGGTTGTTCTTGGCAGCAGTTCTAATGAAATGGAAACCTTGAAATCTTCTTACAGCAGTAAGTACCGTCTCAAACCCTGTTTGGGGGACTAAATGTTGTAGGCGGTCTTATTAGTGGATCTGATTTATTTTCAGAGGACTGGTATTGATGCATCCTTTCAGAAGGTAGAGGAGTCTGTATCATTTGGTTTGAGTGAGCTCTGTACCTGAGACCTGAGGAATTGCTGAGCTGTGGTGGAGAGCAGTGCTTCTCAAAGCCTGGTCCTCGGGCACGCAGCATCAGTATCACCTGGGGACTTGTTAGAAATGAACGTTCTTGGTGAGCATCCGTGACCTCCAGGTGATTTTGATGCACACTGGAGTTTGAGAACTACTGCTTTTAGAAAGTAGTGTCAGGACTTCCCTGGTGGTCCAGTGGCTAAGACGACTCGTTCCCAGTGCAGGGCACCCAGTGTTCGATCCCTGGTCAGGGAACTAGATCCCACATGCCGCGACTAAGAGTTCACATGCCACAACTAAGACCCGGCACAGCCAACTAAATAATTTTTTTTTTTTTTTTAAGAAAAGAAAACAGTGTCATGGCTTTTAGAAAATAGTATTGGGGAGAGAGAGAACAAAGGATGTTCGTGACAGCCTAAGACAGATTGGCCCAGTCTCCTGAATCTGTGCTAGTAAAGGTTGTCCCGACCATGAACGCAGAGCAGGGGCTGTGGACTGCAGGGCCCAGTATGCAAACATAGATAATTCTCAGCCCTGGCCGAGTCAGGATCCTTGTGAGCGGTTTACCTTGTTTTGTTGATGTCTCAGAAGAGAAGCTAGCAGCAGGTATCCTGGGGAAGGAGGGCAAATTGTTTAAATGCTGTTAGCATTGGTTCCAAATGAAAGGAAAAGTTCTCTGCATTGTGTATATATTTTTAAGAATTAATATTCACTCTGTTAAAGCGACAAATTAAGAATCCCAGTCCTTAAGTTTTTTGTTCAATTTACAAGTCATGTTCTATTTATAATCTAGCAAGTTTTTGAAATACCTTTTAAGGGGCCTTTGGATAACATTTACAAATTGGTGATTAACAACGTTTAAACCTTTAAAACTGTATGTAGAAATTTACCATATTCAATTTCATTTTCAAGTTCTTCTGTTGTCTGATTAAAAAATATACCCTTTGCATGATTCATATAAATAATTAGTTAACTAGTTTTATAAACATGGGAAGTCTTAAGTTCTCTTATACATTCTGATACTGTTTATAAGCCTAATAAGATTTTTAAATTACAGGTCTAAATCATTGCTGTGCTTTAAATTAGAATCACAAATTGAATCCATTAGATACTCTGCCAAGTTCTCTTAAACACTGAAAAAAATCCACTATCACAAAACTATTAACACTACAGGTCTGACTCCATCCTCTCTATTTAATTCTAAATATTGCCCAGGAATAAAATATATTTTTTTCCCATTAAGGATATAATTGTCATTCATTCCCAACACTTTTGGAGGTACCTCCTTAGGTGGAGTTTTAGGGGATGATATAAAAAATAGTTTTTTAAATGGGCTTTAATTAGAAGTAAGTGTATAGGAGGAGGCAAACAAGGGAATCTGTTCTCCCTCCCCCCTGCTGCAGCAGAGGCCCCAATAAAGCCTTGCCTGAAAAATAATATTAAAAAAAAATTAACACTAAAGTAAGATATCTTTGAAAGTGAACCCAGAAAATGGGTGCTGTTGCCGCATCCCCCCCCACACCCGCCTTCTGTCACCTGACCCCCAACACAGCTGCTGGGTGAGATGTTTCAAGTCATGCAAGAGCTCATTCTTGGACTCTGTAAATTGGTGTAAGCTGCAAAGAAAAAGCCCAGGCAGGGGAAGCAGGCCATAGCTAGGTGGCCTTTCCACCCTCTGGCTCTGGGGTCGTGGGCAAGTGTGAATGAGGATGACTGACAACTGTTTTCCTCTTTCTGGGCAGGTTGGCCTCATCCAGCTTGGGCAGGAGCAGGTGCTAATCCAGCCCCTCAACAATTCCCAGGGACAAGAGCATCTGATCAGGCGCAGATGGTCCTTGACACCCAGCCCCTCTGCCGAGACCCAGGTCTCTGGGCAGCTCTGCAAGGTCCTAACAGGTGAGTCTGGGAAATAGTGTGAATGACTCACAACACAGGCCCTTTTGGCTTTTGGTGCCATCGCACATCCCTAGACCATCCCCATTGCTGTGTCTCCAAGTGTGCTGAAATCTTGTGAGCAAGAACTTACCTTTCCCTGTATTTTGAAAGCTTTTTTTAATTGCCCATAAGGCCACTTCCTTTTCATTTCTATGTGTATTAATATCAGCGTTTCATGTGTAGCAGCCCTTTGAAAAAGGTGTTTCTAGAAAGAACCCAGGATCTCTTTTGTGTAGTGTCTCAATTTTATGGATCTGGAGCAAGTTGAGGCCTGAAAAACCTCAATGGCTTATTGTTATCAAGCCCGAGGTTGGTGGCAGAGCTAGGATGAGAATTCCTTCCCTTGGCACCCTGGCCAGAGCTTGCTTTCCTTATACAGTGGTCCTCGGTCTTGTCTGCACTAATTAGAGTCACCTGGGAGACCTATGAAGCAGTGGTTCTTAAGAGTGTGACCCCAGCAGCATCAGAATCACCTGGGACTCTGTTAGAACTGCATGTTCTCTCCCAGCCCCCACCTCCTGAATCAGAAACCATGGGGGTGGGTCCAGGTAAATCTGATCATGCTTCAGTGTGAGAGCCACTGCTTTAAAAAATGCCATGCACTAGCCAGTCCCTCCAAATCCTCATCTGATTGGTCCATGGTGTGACTTGGGTGTGTTTTTGAAGGTGGTTCTAATAAGCAGCTTGGGCTGAGAACCCAGGGTTCTTGTATTCTGTGCCTCTTGTGGGCAACCTCTGGTTTATCTGTTAAGTGTTTAAGGACATTTCACCATGCTGTGTCACTAGCAGTCTGCCTGTGAGTGTCCCTTGATGAAGATGATATCCTACTGCTCACAGGTGTCACTTCCTCCCTGGAGAGCATGGGACCCCATGGCTGACCTTTGGGAGTTGTTCTTTTGTAGTTTAAAGACTTTGAATAAAAATACAGTGTCTCAGTTTAGTATTCCAATGACCTTGGAAGTAAATCGATTATATGACTGTATTTTGAACAGCTTTGTTATGTATAAGCGAGCCCTGCAGCTTAGCTCCGCTGGTGCATGCAGTCCTGACCCTATCCACATAGCCACCCTCCTTAGCCTAGTCTGCATTCAGCAGGGAGTTATTAGAGGTGATTTTGCTGGATCAGGGTCATCTCTGCAACTCCAGGAGAAAGAATGCCACCATACATTAGGGTTTTGCTGTGTTCCTTCCTGCACCCTTACAAAAACAGGAAAGAGAGGTCTCAGCAAAAAATTACTTGTAACTAAAATTTTTTTTGGCGGTACGCGGGCCTCTCACTGTTGTGGCCTCTCCCGCTGCGGAGCACAGGCTCTGGACGCTCAGGCTCAGCGGCCATGGCTCACGGGCCCAGCTGCTCTGCGGCATGTGGGATCCTCCTGGACCAGGGCACAAACCCGTGTCCCCTGCATCGGCAGACGGACTCTCAACCACTGCGCCACCAGGGAAACCCTGGTATTGTAACTAAAATTTACCCCTTAATAGGAAGCATGGGTTTTGGTAAGTCCGATGGTTGGTTGTGTGTTTGGGCTTGATGTTGGTGTGTTATTTTAAACGTTAGCCAGCTGCCCCTATCTGGGTCAATCGGTGGATTTTTTTCTCTCTCTCCTCTCAGAGTAAATGACTAGTGGTCATTTTAAATCTTTGTGCATTTTCTGCAGCTGATCTGACCATATTGTTTCAGAGGCAGGGGGATGACTCTAAGGCAGAGGTTCTCAGCCCTGGCTGTCCATTGGCATCACCTGGGGAACTTTAACAACTAGTCACACCCAGCTCCTGCCCCCAGAGAGCCGCTTTTATTGATCTGGGGTGCAGCCTGGGCATCTAGTGATTTGAAGCCTCTCCAGGTGGTTCTAATGTTCAGCTGGTGCTGAGAACTGCTGCGCTAAGTTTCAGACATGATTAATAGCACCTGTGGGCCATCGGAAGTGGGTTTTCTCAGGTGAGAATCACCAAGCAGGGCCACACAGTGAAACCCAAGGACAAATATGTTTTATTCTTACTTTCCCTTTGTTCCTGCCAGTGCTTGTCAGCTGCTAGTCAGTGACCAGAAACCCTGGGTGCCTGTGGATGATATCATGGAATATTTGTCTAATTACCAGCTGCCATCCTCTTTAGGGGTGTGATACCAAGGATTGCTGACAAAATGATAAATTGTGTTTGTGTTTGCATTTTTGTCCCTAAGACTAGTTTGGAGGCACTCTTCTGAGAGACTCTTTTGCCTTTAGTGAAGGAAATAAAATGAACAAAACCAGGGGGTTTATTCCCAGCCCCCAAATCTCACATCAACATGCTCTGCCATGCAGGAGCAACATGTATATTTAAGGTGATGCCAACTCAGGCTCTGTCCTGGGTAGGAACACAGACATAGGAGAACGGTATAGACTTTGCTTCTGGTCCTTCTTTCTTTGTGTGAAATAGTCAGTAAACTTTGTTGCTGTGTTGGGAAAGACAGCAGGCCTTCTAAGAGGCTTAGCTAATGAGCAGTCAATTAGACCCTATCTAGTTTGGATTAACTTTCAAACATTGGGGTTTAGAAACTGGGAAAATTAATTTACTGGGACTCCAGCAAAATACATTCTTGAAGTTTCCTGGAAAGATTAATCAGATTAATCCACGATTTCTCATGGGAACTTGTTCTTTATGGCTGAGCATGGCAGCCATAGGTGTAATTGTGCCTTGTCATTGATCTGTGTTATTCCAACCTTGGACATGGCCTTGGGGTAGCCAGCTGGCTCACACAGGTGAGGAGCAGTCTGATAACTCTTTCTTCTCCATGAAGCACTCAGTTTACCTGTGAGTTGAGTCTGGGTAAGCTGCCATGTTGTCTAGGGGGATAGAGGGACTGACACAGGAAAGGCCACCTGGGAGGAATCACTGCCTTGTCTTTGGTACTATAGAGGTTGCATTTCTAGCAGTCTTCGGGGCTTCCAGAGAGGGAACAGATGGATCCTATTTCCTTATAAATTAATTTATAAATTAATTTAAAAAAATCACTCCAGCTTGGAACTTTGCATGAAAATATGGAGGCTGTGAGCCTTTTTAAATAAAAATAAATAAAAAAATAAATAAAAAAAAATTTATTTATTTATTTTGGTGAGCATGAGTTTTTGAAGATATTTTTGGCTGTTCTCAAACACTAAAATGGTAGTTTGGATATTTTGAAATGTTTGTTGATTTAAAAAAAAATATTTATTTATTTTGGCTGTGCTGGGTCTTCACTGCGGCATGCCGACTCTTGGTTGCGGCATGTGGACTTCTTAGTTGCGGCATGCATGTGGGATCTAGTTCCCCACCAGGGATCGAACCCGGGACCCCTGGATTGGGAGTGCAGAGTCTTACCCACTGGACTGCCAGGGAAGTCCCTGTTTCTTGATTTTTCTGAGTGGTTATTTTGACTTCAAAACTTTTTGTCTGCCTGCTATGCTTATTTTAATTTCTCTATTCAGATTCATTATAGAGTCTTCTCACTAGCACTTTCGTGGTTTTTAGTAACAATTTGAATCTCTTCTCATCCACTATGGTAGATGTAACATGTGGATGGTTGAAGTAGATTGTAAAATAATGAAACTAGTTTCCTATGAGGCACTGTCAAAGTAGGAATCCTGCAACGTTTTGCATGGTGGTGGGCTCTTTAGAACACAAATACACCAATGCCATTCAGCAGTGGTACCTGTGAAGTCACTGATGTCTACTTTATAGTTTGTTTTGTTATGCTTGTTTTAAAAAACAGTGCAGTAATTTTATAGTATTGTTTCATTCATAGCATTCTGAAGTTAATTTTAGTGAGTAGAGGATACCATAACGATTCAGAAATTGTGTATTGCCAATTTATGCAATAATTTGCATGTGTAATAATATCTGTATATACTCTGTAATAAATAAATGGTTGGGACTTGTGTTTTGTGTCACTTAAGATTCATTTGGTTGGAAATGACAGAAATCAAACTGGCTTCAGTACTGATGACATCACAGCCATGGGCTCCTGGAGCTGAGGAGCAGAGCAGGAGGTTGGACCTCAGGTCAGCCTTGGCCACAGCAGTTCTGTATCTGACAGCCTTGTCCTCAGCTGGCTTCTCTTCTGGTGATAAAGAGGCAGCTGGGCTGAGGAGATAAACTCTTCTGTTTAATCAGGGTTGACTTGGATCATGACTTGAGTTCCTTTCAGTTCACCACTGGCTTCAAGCGTCTTGAGGCAAGAGTAGAAGAGCTTATTAGCTCAGTCCCCACATAACTATGGAGATGTCACTCTGCCTTCCATCCTTGTCCTGACTTCCTGAAAGTCAGCTAAAAAGTCTGGTTGGATAGATTCAGGACACCTCTAATCCAGATAGAATCCATCATTCCAGCCCATGTGGTTGATAAGACTTTGGCTGGTTCCTTCACAGGGTCCTCATCAGATGCTAATTAACTCCTCATCCCACCTGTGCCCGGGATAAACATGGCTACTGGTTTTTGCTCATTAGGAAGGGCTCAATCCCTCTGAAATTTAGTTCCTCTAAACTTCTTTGAGACCTTAGGTCTCCAGTGGGTAAAGCAAAATATGATTTCGTTGTTTATCCAGTGTTTTTTGTTGTTTCAGTGGTGGTGATAGTCTTCCATCTTTTTCTGCATCTTAAGTGGAAGAAGAACCCAAAGGAAATGGAATTAAATTTGTACTTTGAGTTTTTTCATGTTAATATTTTAAGTATGTATTCACATATAAAAATATTAAATCCAAAAAGAGACACCAATATTTTAAGAATTATTATTCCTGGAGAAAGAGAAAGAAGTATGATGGCAGAGACCCAACTCTGTCTACCTTGTGTGTGACCCCAGAAGTGTCCCTTGGCATCTCTGTGCCTCTGCATTAGTTTGCTGGGGCTGCTGGAACAAACTACCACAGACCTGGCAGCTTGAACAACAGGCATTTACTTCCTCACAGTTTTGGAGTCTAGAAGTCTGAGATCACTGTGTGGGCAGGG